AATAATACAACGTTACAATAGATTTGTTACAATCCAGCGTTTATCTTCATAAATTAAAAGGTAGTGAAAATGGACAAATTTGGCAAGGTTCCTTGTTTTTCATTTGTTTTTAAATAACAATAATAATGATTTTGTTGCTATTATTATTTGTATTATCGATCTCTTAATCTTTACTTATGTCTTCTTATCGGGAAATTGGTACGGAAAATGGACAGCAATAGATTTATATCTCACCTCATGGATCAGAAACCTATCCGTGTTTTTATGATTAGCACATTGACATTTATGTCATCCACCGGGACTTTTGACTTGATTATTTTATAACTCTATGTGATTTCTTGGAATTTCGAATTGAGAAGGGGTTTTGCGGGAATTTTTATTGATCTTGACATTTCCTTTTTATGAATATTTTTCTGAAGTTTCGTGTACAGCTTTTCATAAGATTTTATTAAATTATTATTATTATTTATAAAAAATAATAATTTTTTAAAAAATTATTATTATTATTGAACTTCATGTGTGACCACCTCCCTTAAGCGACCGCCTTTCTTCCAAAATACTAAAACTTTCCCAGTCAAGACCCTCCAGTCGGGCCCCTTTTGTAAAGGACCACCTCAGCTCCTGTAAGCGACAGTGACCACTTTTGGGGGCTGACGTTAATGATTCTCCAGTGTTTTTAACCTCTTGTAAGCAACCTGTTGATGCATTGTCTGATCTCTATGTTCTTGTGTGTACTATGCTACTTAGAATATATGAAGAACTTAAGTAACAACATGGAAGTGCAAATATCATAACTTAAAAATTGCTTGCAATAAATTATCCTTCATAAAGTAGATGTGTCCGGACATTTCAGAAGAGACTCCCTGTGATTCTTTTCTCATAATAAGTGACCACCTTACATCAGCGACCACTAAAAGTCTCTGCAATTTGGTTGCTTACGGGAGGTTCAACTGTATTATTATTATTATTATTATTACTATTATGCTATTTGTAATCCCTGCCTTGCATAATTTTTATTTAGTCTCTAAAGCATAGGGGAGGATGTGAGCTGTTCCCAAAAGAGTAATATTTATGATTATGATTGATTATGATTATGATTATGATTATGATTATGATTATGATTATTATATTGTGGAATCTCAGGTTTAAAAGGTTTACATTGCCTGGTAAATAACCCTTGGGAGCAACCAACAACAAGTTCCTAAAGGCCCCAAAGGAGTCGTTACATTTGAGACCCTAAATAGCCAAAGCTTTCCGTAATAGTCCAGCTGTTTCCAACAGAGCCACTTTCTGGATCACTTCAAATCTGATGGAAACGTTAACGGTTGTGTAGCCGACTACCCACACGGTTGCCAATGCACATATCGCGCCACATTGGCATGTCGCCTCTTGTAAATCACGTTGGGCTAACTGGCTTGTTGCACTCACTTGTCGCTAGGTGACTTACACTTTCTCCCTTCTCTCCGCACATCCCACATAGAGGTGCTTTTGAGGTTTTGTCAATATGAAACTGCTTGATATAGTTAGTTCTTTAATTAAGCATGTTCCTTTGCGCTTTAGATCAAAGTTTCTGTACATCACTTGAGGTCCCCCTTCCGCAACCACGGGCATGTTTTCTTCCAATCCACTCCCGTCATCTCCTTGACATATTACCCCTGCATTTGCTTTTCTTTCCATTTGTTTTCCACTTCTCTCTTTTTACTCTTCTTATATTCCTTTGGATCCTTTTCCTCATCCACTTTCACTGTTCCTTTTTCACCTACTTTCCTGAGCAAAACCTCGGAATTCCTTACATACCAACTCAAATTATGATGATGATGATGATGATGATGATGATGATGCTGATGCTGCTGCTGCTGATGATGATGATTATTATTCCACACGACATTTTTTTATCTTTCTTATTATTCCAAAGAATGTTTTCCACGTTTCTCACAGTCTAAGCAACAACGGCGTTTATCCGAGGCTGGACATCGGTCAAGTTTGAGACGACATGCAGAGCTGGAAGCTCAATGCAAACATTTTTTCTTTTCCTTTTTCTTTACTAACTCTCACTGCTCGCCTCCATTGCTCAACTATTTTTTGTCCCTTTCCCCTACAAATGTAAGGGTGTTCCTCGGAAATTTCCCTGCCCCTAATAACTAAAAGAATCTTGCTTCCTTGGGATCGTAAAGGTGATGTTACCTGGACGATCTGCAACGACGAGTTTTAGCGAAACGCAACGTTGCAACATTTTTTCGAATAGCTGCAACATTCCAATATTGTAACGCTGTGTTGCGCTAAAAATAGTCGTTGCAAATCGTCCCGTGTAACATCACCTTAATTATGATCGACAACCCGCCAATTTTACTTTCCTATCCGAGTTGTTACTCCCTATAATGGCCTGAACGGGGAGGCTCCGCGCGAAAGGGGAACTTTTTTAGGCTTCAGGTATATCAAAGGGTAAGGATTTTACTGTTGAAGTATAATTATGAAAGGTTCGGGAAATTTGTCATGGCGATCTGTGAAAAGGCTTTAAAGGCTTAACAGGCTAATTTTATGGAGTAAATTTTCTGGTCTGGTGATTTATTCATATTTAAAAGACGGTGCATTTACAGCCGTAAAAACAGGATGCAGCGTCCCAAACTTGGTATGTGAAAGGGGTATCATTTGTCAATAAAACGTATACGAAAGAGGTACCTTTTCTGAATAAAATGGTATATAAAAGGGTAAGGGTAAGGGTAAGGCCTGGGGGCGGAGCCTCTGCGTATAAAATTTTGTTGAATACCCCCTGGTTCCATTTAAGGTAAGACGAACAGTTATTTTCGGAGGGGAGTAGTTCGAGCCGGTTTCGAGCTCAGCTAACACTCTGCACAGGTTCTGCAGGATAGAAAACGTTGCTGGAGGAAAAGTTCATGATAAAGGCGAGCTCGTGGCCATAGTGACCTTGGATTTATCCAAGGCATTTGATTTTCTCCTCCATTTACTTCTTATCAAGAAGCTGGAAGCATACGGCCTTGACAATCGGAGTTGCTCTTTTCTTCCGGAGTATCTTCAGAACAGGTTACAGCGGGTTAAAGTTGGAGACGCTGTGTCGTCATGGGAGTTAACAAGTAGAGGTGTACCACCAGGCAGCGTCTTTGGCCCCCTGCTATTTAATGTTTTCTCGATGACCTGGCCCACTTTATTATTGGAACTCATCTTAACGCATATGCTGATGATCAGCAGCTGTACTATTCTGATACTGATCATTCGGCTCTGCTCACCCAACTCAATAATGAGCTCTCTATAGCAGTGGACTGGTTCAAGCACAACGGTTTAATGGCCAAACCTAACAAATTCCAGTTAATGCTACTGGGAGATGATCACGAGTTTTCAGTTGCTGTTGATGGGATAGAGATCACCAGGTGTCACAATATTGATTGTATTGATTTAACATTGACTCTAATAAGTTTTATACTACTACATGAGAAATTTCTGCAATTTGATTGGCTAAGAACAGTGGTACTTCAGCTTACTACGCTTTTCATAAACATGCGAATTCTGAAGTTCAAAAGTCAACTGACGATTGTGTTTTCCGCTGCCGTCGATTATCTTGACGGACCTCTTAGGAAACAAAACTTTAGTTTAACGGGTTCAAAAGGTCATGGTTTGTGTTTGTGATTGGTGGATTTCGATCCGTTTTGTGTGTTTCTGTGTTTCAAGTTTCGTTACTTGTGATCGTAATTATGATTGACGGCAGCGAAAAACGCAATTGTGAAGGCGCCTTTTGAACTTTAGAGTTCGCATGTTTGTGAAAAGCGCAGTAATTTGAAATAACTACATGTGAAAATTACAAACCTTTTGCGGGTAGTACTATAAACAAATAATAGCATGATTTGTACGTGATATTTGGCATAAATACCACTCGTGATATTTCAAAATTGTCCCAACTTTCACTCGCCTAACGGCTGGTGAAATTACCTATAACAATTTTGAAATATCACTCGAGGTATTTATGCTAAATATCACTACAAATCATGCTATTACCTATACTAATTTTGATAGACGCGTTAGAAATTTGCACAGTAGAGTAAATAAGCAACTTCAAGTTATAAGTTAATAACAGGACAAACAAGGTTAAAGCTATATAATGCATTTATTACAGCCTCTTTTCGTTATTGTAGCAATATGTGGCATTTTTACAGTGCGCACAGCAGAGACAAATTAGAACAGTTAAATAAGCAGATACTTAAAGTAGTGTTAAAAGATTCATCCAGCATTTACGAGGATCTACTTACCAAACTTAATATGACCAATCTGGAGGCAGGACGGGTGCAAAGCATGATGGTGACATTGTACAAATGTTTAAATGGAATGGCCCCGTCTTACCTCAGAGCGTACATTCAAGAGTGGCGTGTATCAAATTATAATTAGAGAGGCTCTAACATGCTGCAAATACTGCGTATTAGGACTGTAATATATGGTTGACGATCTTTTAGATATTATAACCCTTATGCCTGGAATGACCTTTCCGATGATATCAAAAAATCTGATACGATTGCCGGCAACTTTGAAACGAAATATCATAAACGCAAAATCATATATATGATACTTTATAAAATAACTAAGATAGTACGCGCGTTCTGATTGGTTAAAAACTTGTGGTTTATTGTGCCGGTAAACTCACACTTGGGATGTTGGGAAAACACAAGAAAAGCTAATTTAAATCACTAGCCTTCGGCTCGTGAAGTATCAAGCTTTTCTCGTGTTCTCCCAACATCTCGCGTGGGTTATCACGCCGGTAAGCCCATAGAAAGTGTGTTCTATTGCTTAAATAACTAATTTTTTATCGGTTCTTATTTATGTGGTTCGGAGATACCAGCACCATGTGCTACACTACAATTCGAAGTAAAATAAAGTTGTGAATTAATGATGCAGCAGCCTCGACTTCAAGCTAGTTTCCAGTTCTTGACTAAAATTCAAGACTTGCTAGTTGAGAGGCTCACGTCTTGTTGTTTACTGATAACAACTTTCTTGGAGAGTTTGCAGAAACAAAAAAGCCGGATGAATTCTTTTCTGTATTCCCTATGATAATACCAGTATATAAAAGGATTTATACACGAGTTAACGAACGCAATAACATTGCACGCTTTGTGGAACGGACTGCTAACGCTAGTGATACCAAACGGAGTTAAAGTGTAACTCAATTGGGCGGGAAGCCAACACAATGTGAACACAACAGCTGTCAAAGCGCACATGCGCAGTATGATCTTTTGCTGTCTTTCCCGGCGCTCTCTCTGCGACGATTTAATATTCAGCTCAAAAGGTGCACGAAACCTTATATGTGCAAAGGTAAGCCACGTGACGAAACAAGGGATTACAAAAGTACTGAAACTGTAGACTGCAACGAATGCTTGTGCACCTTCTCTACCATAAGGAATATCAACAGGAACGCATTTATTTCCACTGAGTTTTTGCTCAAGAAATTTGTGACTTTGCAAAGCACAGCTAGCGATCCAAGAAACCACTATGTAAATTATGAGCCTTCTTCTTCCAAATTGTATTTTGTACTTTATTGGTCTCATCACACAGTACCAGCGTTCCACGGCAAGACATGTGACCAGCAAAATGGATACTTTGGCCACAGTAAAGAGAAGGTACCTATTACCCAGTAGCGCGCAAAACAGCTCACCACCAAACCCGTCAGCTATTGGAAACAAGGGTTCATCTGAGATGTAACCGGGTGTTAAAACCACAAAGGCTCCTGTCAAGAAAGAAAGTAATTCAGGGTTGGTGCCCACTAAAACAAACATCAGGTCCCGGTTGTTCAAACGCTGCACAGGGATGCCAACTAGATATAAAACACGGCAGATAAGTATAAGGAAAACAAGGGAGTTAGGGACCAGGCTCCGCATTGGGGGAAAAAGGAAAAAAAATCGGAGTGGGCGAAAGAAAGGTAGCGTAGTCTTGGGAGGTGAAAGGGTGAAGGATGGCGCCCTTTCCCCCTCCCCAGGCCATCGCAGGGCTCGCTTCGCTCGCCGATATTTGTCGTATTTGACCCCTTTTTTTGTCTTTTTCCCCACTGAAGAGCTGCCCTGGTCCCAGGCTATATAGTACGGACTTTAAGATTCATCGACGCGACAGCCACGAGAACGTCTAAAAATCAATAGGTAATTTAGGGCCTGTTTACATGGAGTGGGGGACCCCGGTCTAGTGGGGTAGGTTTCTTTTGTTTTGTGTTCCCCAGAGCGTGAAAACAAAAGAAGCCAACCCCACTAGACCGGGGTCCCCCACTCCATGTAAACAGACCCTTAATAAGCAAAACAACAACTCTGCACGTGCATCACACTTTTTTGAACATTTCTTTGCCGTTTTGCACAATTACGACGTAAAAATGCCTTATTTTGTGTTTTATGGAGAACATAAACAAGCAAAGGCGAAGTTTTATTTCGCTCACTGAACTTGAATACGGTCCCTTGGAATTTAATTTTAAGTGAAAAGGGTTCGCTTACATTTGGCAAAGTAAGAAAGTAGGAATAATAGCGATAACGACTAGAAGAACGCAAATTCAATTTTTAAGCGGCGTTGTCGTTGCTGTCGCGTCGTTAGCCAGCGAGCAAGCTCTCGCCGCTCGGTTAAGCGTTCTCGCGAGACTCGTTTCACTCGCCCAAACAGGAGAGCTTGCTCGCAGGCTATCGCGTCGTTCAATCTTAAAGTCCCTTGTGATTCATTTATCTGGGCCTGGTTGTTCAAACGATGGGTAGCGCTATTCATCGGATATAAATCACTATCCAGCGGATAAGAAAAGAGAAAACCAATTGCGCTATCCATTGGATAGGGATTTATCCAGTGGGTAGTCAAGTGTTATCTACCTTTTGAACAACTGGGGCCTGAATAAAGATGATTATTTCAAGTAATAAGTATGGGAAGGGGTGTTCGTACTGATAAGAATAGCGTAAAATTCTGAAAATAATCCCCAGGGCTTATATTTTTCAAAGGCCCTTTTTGAGGGGCTTATATTCGGAGGGGCTTATCTACAAAGGGAAATTTGCGTTTCAAAATCGATTGGGCTAACCTTGTAGTTGGAAGTAAATTTTCCGTTTTTGCTTTGTTTTACTTTGTATTTGAGGGCAATTTTCAAAGTACAAGTCCCTGGGGGGCTTATATTTGGAGGGGCGATTTAACGGAGGGTTTTTTTGCGTTACCGGTTTGGGGGGCTTATATTTGGAGAGACTTACTTTCGGAATTTTACGGTATTTCTTCTTATTTCCAAACAAATTTTTTTCGGCCCTTCGGGCCTCATTTTGGTCGAAAAATACGGAGTGGGCCCTACCCTGGATCCGGCACTGTATACTACTAATCTACCATCCTAGTGTATGACAAAAGTGCAGTTAAATCAAAGTATGCATACTGTACCTGTAAGTAAATCGGTCACGGCCAAGTTAAACAGAAGAGAATTATGTGGCTTTTTGAGCATGGCACGTTTCTTCAAGAGCACTGCGCAGAAGGCAAGGTTGAACACAAAAGCACAGCTCGCGATTATACTGAAGGCAACTTCAAGAGCATCCTGTGATTGGCTAGCAAACAATTCTGAATCTGTCTCGGTCGGAGCTGGAGTCATAGTCTTTTTCTGCTCTCAAATATGATGTTATACTCGCTTTTCATGAAGAACGGACTGCAAACGTAAGTACAACACTTAATTTTGTGAGGAATCAGATTTGCTTTAAGGAATGGGTTGGGTGGGTACAGTAAGCTCATAAATGGACTGAGAGCGGCTGCTAGTGGCGCCTTTGTATGCTGACGTCCGAGCTTACTGTTCACAGGGTACGTCTGTTGTTCTCTCATCCACGACTCTTCATTCATTTATTTTAAGCGCCATCTTAAACACATTGCGTCCTAACTGTGATATCTCGATGTAAATTCTGTAAAAAGGGATTTGTCAATGCATAGTATTAAACAGGATGGTTACCATTCTTCAAAAAGTAGAAAAATTTAGGGTTAAGTGTTAACTAAGAGCTTCTATTAAAATTTCGCCGTGAATTACCTCACAAGTCAACTCGTACTTTTTTCAAGAGCAAACGTTTTCAAAATATATTTAACAAGATGCTGGGGGAGCGTATATTTGGGCATTATTGTATTAAGCTTGTGTGATGTCTTTCATGTGTACAGTTGCATAGTCTAAGCTCTTCTTGCGACCACTCTCGTAATCTACCAGCTCTGGCTACGACCACATTTGTGAAAACCCGTTTGAACAGTGAGTTAAACTTTATAGTGAACAGCTCTCGTTAGCGATCGCTCCAGTAAGTGACCGCGACCACTTTTGGGATTACCCAACTGGACTTTTCTTTTGGTTTTAAGCTCTCGTAAGCGACCACTCAGCGACCGCTTAGTCTTTCTCGTATAAATCGACTTTTTAATGATAATGCACACTGCGCCAATGGTCTAAAAATTTGGACGTAAAGTTTAGCCTCTTCTATATTAGGTGTAAAGATACTCATAAAAAATTGGTAGTATGAAGATGGGGGGTATGAAGATGTTTTGAGGGGGGGCTAAAATTTGGTTTTGTGGGTTCGGGGGCTTTGAAAAATCGGTGAGGTCAAGGGGGAGGGGATAAAATCTGGCTGTTAAACTAAGGGCCTGATTACATGAACCGGGCCGGCAAAAACAAACAAATTACCTCCTTCATGGTAAATTTTTCAAAGACCACAAAGTGCACTCGCCCTACGGGCTCTTGCACTTTTGTTGGTCTTTGCAAAATTTACTCGTGCCAAGAGAGGATAAATGGGACAGAGAAGGCATCCCCAAAACACACCCTATTCCATAGGTAATTCGTCTCGAATTATTTTTGAGACCACAGATCCCAAGGGGGATTAGACAGCAGCCAATCACGTAGCGCGAATGTGTTCCGCGTGGATGACCCACGCTTAGAGACAAGCGTCCTTTACGAATTGACGCAGAAAAAAATGGCGGAAGACGCGGAGAGCGATATTGGTATTCGTTTTGTCGACGAAAACGACTAAAAAGAGATTTCTACTAAAGCGGTGTTAGCGAAATGGAAATTAAAAAAGAATCGCCCTTCCTCTCTTGTATAGAGCTAACAGTACAGCAAGGGAATCCTTAACACACTGAATATTCTCTCAGGATCATTTATAATTTACAGTTTGAAGAGAGCAATTTCTGGTTTGATATTTATTCTTTCATTAGTCTTTTATTATTCAACAAAAATAACACTTGGCGTTCTACTTGCTCTATTGTACAAATTTCTCATTTTATTAAAGCACTGAGGTTACGACAACTTCGAGTTAAACTGATTTCACGGATTGTCAAAGAGTCCAGCATTCCCTTTTCCCAGGTGAGTGCCGACTCATTTCGCTTCAATGTTCAGAAATGCTCTCGATCTCTTTACGCTTTCATTGCCTTTCGCCCGACATGTTTTGCACGGAGTTTAGTCATGCGAAACCTCCACGAACCATCCACGCAGCGCGCGGGGTAACTTTATCCCGATTCTAAAAATAAATCGAGACGAATTACCTATGGAATAGGGTGTGTATGGGGGATGCCTTCTCTGTCCCCTTTATCCTCTCTTGTTCGTGCTTATTTATTCCAAACTGCACTCGAAATCATGTGATTATCTATTCTAACATCAATAAGCTGTAATGAAATTATCAAATATTTAACAATTCCTTATTTATCTCATACACGATCACGGAATTTTGCGTCACATCTTCTTTGGCTCTCGAAAACTAAGGGCAAAAATATTGTCAAACTCTTGGCTATAAGCCAAACCCGTCAATTCCAATTATTTTTCACAGATTTTCAAATTTCTGAAAATCGCCCGGCTTCAAGGTAAGATAAAAAAGCTAAGATTTATAAGTTTATCTTTTTTTCGGTACTCATTATCTGTACAGCTAATTTTGGAAATCAGCACAACCTACAGATTAGTTAGTTATCTGCTAGCAGATAACTGGCTAATCTGTAGGTTGGGCGCGCAATGCATGATTTCTAATACAGTGAAACCTGTATTAAGCGGACACCGTATTATGAGGACACCCTCTATTAGCGGACAGTAGCTGAATTCCCCAAATTTATTTCTCTTATTTACCTTAAATGAAACCTTTATTAAGCGGACACCTCTATTAAGCGGACGCGGACACCTAAAAAGTACCTGAAATATTCATTTCTATTGTTACCAACCTGTATTAAACGGACACCTGTAATTAAATTCCACCACCCAACATGCCAGACACCGGAAATGCAAAGACTGCCACCCACAAATTTCCATTTTTTACCTTAAAAAATGTGACTTTACGAACTTATTTGATTAGTTTCACAGTACAGTTATGTTTTCTATTTCGTTTTGTTTGTATAGAGCTTGTTTAAATTATTCTGATTTCTTCAAATTTTAGTTGGAATCTATGTTTAAGGTCACCATCAACTGGTCTACTTAAATAAAAAAATTAATGCAAACGTATCGTCATAGTCTCTGGGAGTATTCTCAACGTTTCCACAGTTCATTTGAATGGCATTTGACACCCCATATGACGTTATCTATTAAAACCTGTATTAGGAGGACACCCTGTATTAAGCGGACACTACAGCATTCCCCGAGGGTGTCCGCTTAATACAGGTTTCACTGTAACAGTATCAATAGGCGAGTTTCGTATTCTCGGCGGCCTAGGACGAGTGCTTGTGTTAGCGCGAAAGCGAGGCTAATGCGGGTCACTTCCCACCAAGAAGACAAACAACCATGAGAAAAGTGCGGCTATTAGGCTCTTTGTATGACTGTGATCACGTGATCAACTTTCGGCAAACACGAAAACAGTTCATTTTTAAACAATTTTGTTAGCATAGGCTGAAAGAGCATATTAAAATTAGATAACCTGAGAGTTTTCAGCCCGTACATCTCAAACGTAGCGATTGCAACGGCCGCCGAAAGTTAGAAGCACTTGTATGAGAAAAACAACTTTTGCCATCTACTCACGCTTGCATGGTTTTCAAAACAGATCCTTGTAAATCCTACAATTTTTGAATTGTCGTTAAATCTTTGCCTTACGCATTTAAGGGATCAAATTGCCTGGTATGAATTTAAAGGAGATTTGAGCCCTGTAATGCTTAATGACAGTTTTGAAAATTTCAAACTTGTCGAAGCCTGCGGGCTAAGCTGAAACCTTTTTTTTTAGTTGACATCTTTTCCAACGGAGCGAATGCAAATTCTAGTGTATTTAAAAAAAAACAACAAGGACGCGCTTACAGCGGCCTACAAGTCTCGTCTGCTTGGGGATTAGATCGAAAAATGAAGAAGCGATTAATTCTGCTAGAAACATGATTTACTCGCTAAAGGTTTTTTACCTCCTACTTTATCGGCGTCGATACTTTTTATTTGTTTCTGAACTGATTTAGTACGCGTGTTAGCGACGACCAAAAGTACCTCTCCGGTAGCAGGCTATACGCGTGTAAATACACGAAAATTCACGGGCCTCGATTCCAGAGAAATTATATCATTGCTAGCGTGATTCACATGGCACGTCATTTCAATCATCGCCGAAAAAAGACTCACAAGACTCATTTGCATACAGTGAAAGTTTACAACACCCGACCATCGCAATTTTGCTAATTAAGTTTCTTATTTTTTTTTCGACCACTCAGTATTGTTCACTTGCTCCAAAGTAATCAACACTTTCAAGCGATAGAATTCGTGGACCGACACGTTTCGGAAAAGCTCTAAATTTAACCTTTCCTAAGCTTTCTTCGCAAAACACGCGTGGCTTCGATCACGCAACGATTCTTAGTCCCAGTTTCTACGGTCTCCGCAAGGAACGCCAGGCACAATGATCTGCCTTTTGTGTCCTAAATTACGACCAAAAATTCCGGAGGGGGGGTAATTCCAGAAAAATTGGGAGGGGGTGTGCGGCACGCTTCCTGAAACCCTTAGCCTATTTCAGACCAAAATGGTCGAAATTGATGCCCTATTTCAAACCAAAACGGCTAAAAAAAAACAAACCCTTTGGCGCGGCACAGACCTATATAGCCTATATAAGGGACTATCCCCCCGGGGCGAAAAGCTCTTTGCTGATTATGAGTCTCGCTGCTTACGCAAACGAGACTAATAAACCGACGGGGTGGAAGTTCTGGATTAATTCCTCGCATTAAAAGGAGGTTAAATAGGTTTAAACGAAGTTGTCCAAAATAGTATAAGTTTTTTTCATTCTTGAGTTTTCATTTAGCTTACATTATTTATCAAAATATTCAGACACATTAAAAAAACGTACACACATGTCATGTCACTCGACAAGAACTCGAACACCAGAGTCTTATACAGATGATATACTGAGCAGTTTAAACTCCATTTTACAGATATACACAAGAGTAAAATAAAATACTAAGAAGTAAAATAATTAAAGGGAATGAAATATTGTCATTTTAATAAACTTTACCCTTTTCAAACTTAAAAAGTTTACTTCTTCTTTTGGTTTCGTCGCTTTTTCCTTTCTTCTGTTAATTACGATCAGCTTTTCCCACAATGATTTTGTCGTTTGTAACAGATATCCCTTTGGCTAAAGTTCAAGCTTTGAAAATGTA